CGGGCTGACCCGTAGAAAGAGGCGCTGGCTCTTGTTCCACAAGGCAGGTGTGAGGCGTGGGGGGCTGGCGACCTGTGGTGCCCTTGCGTTAATTTCCTGATCCACCCTGCCGGGCTGGGAGCTGGGCTTTGGGCGCATTATGCTGCTGATGTTTGGTTGTCTAAACACTAGCGAGTTGCTTTCTTGCTTGCTTCTGGTAAATTGTATTGTCGAGGTGGGAAAATGGGTTTGCGGTTGTAGCTTCTGTAAATGTTGCCATTTATTTTCTGCATTTAAGATACAGATTTATTTTTTTTTTTAGAGAAGGCTTTGAGGGGTGTTAAAATCCCATTAACTATACTTAGTGCTGTAAAATGTTTCAGTGTATTTTATATTCCATAGTGAGGAGCACTGTTGCAAGACTTCAGAACAAATAATTGTGTTAAATTAAAAATATATGATATAATCTGTGTTCTAAAGCTGACTTTAGAGAAAAATTCTTAATTTTATTATTTCAAGAGAGGTGACTTAAAAAACCTGTGTGACTTCCTTCCAGAAAAAATACTCTGTTTCAAACAGCCAGGTTAAATGCATTTGAGTAGGGTTTGAATATTTGACCACATACAATTGTTGCGCATGATTTAAATGTTATTTCTTTAATTGTACTTGGCTTGCTATTTGAAGGAAAAGAATAGGAAGGATTATAGGCATTTAACATAATTTTCACGTTAAATGCTGCTATCATATTGTAAGCATTGTCTTACCTCTTTATACAAGCTGTTTGTAAAATCTTTCCTTTTTGTTCTTGCTTTATTTTCCATGTATAAAGCTAAGTAACTTGCTACATTTCTCAGTGGGGAAAGTGAGTTAAATAGTAGTTGTTAATTGGTATGTGTTCTGTAGGTGCATTGTAAGGGCTAATGCTTTCTTTGTCTTGTAAGCAGGGTGGAATTTCCTTTCTTCACAATGACTTGTCTCATTTTGGATGAGGTCTTCGTTTATCTGGAAGAGAATAATCTGGCTCACAAGTTCCCTTCTGTAAATTCAATTGACTCTTAAGCAGGCAGCAGATTTAAATTAAAATCCTTCACCTCAAAGTCAGTAATGAGGTTATTGTGGGTTTTTCTTTGTTATTTATTTCAAGTAACTGGATGTGTAGAAAAACCAAATGAATTTAATTCATGTGCAAATTTACATAATAGATATTCAAACTGAATAGGGAAATTAATGCTCGGCAGAAAAAGATCTGGGAGTGTTGCTTGACAGCTGGCTGAACATGAGCCAGCAGTGTGGCCAGGAAGGCTGACAGCATCCTGGCCTGTATCAGAAATAGCATGGCCAGCAGGACTAGAGAAGCGATTGTCCCCTGTACTTGGCACTGGTGAGGCTGCACCTCGAGTGCTGTGTCCAGTTCTGGGCCCCTCACCACAAGAAAGCCCTTGAGGTGCTGGAGCGAGTCCAGAGAAGGGCAACGAAGGTGGGGAAGGGTCTGGAGCACAAGTTTGATGGGGAGCGGCTGAGGGAGCTGGGGGGGTTTGGTCTGGAGAAGAGGAGGCTGAGGGGAGACCTGATCACTCTCTACAACAACCTGACAGGAGGTTGTAGCCAGGTGGGGGTCGGCCTCTTCTCCCTGGTAACTAGCGATAGGACAAGAGGAAATGGCCTCAAGTTGCACCAGGGGAGATTCAGGTTGCATATTAGGGAGAATTTCTTCACTGTAAGAGTTGTTAAGCACTGAAACAGGCTCCCCAGGCAGCTGGTGGACTCACCATCCCTGGAAGTGTTCAAAAAACGTTTAGATGTGGCTCTTTGAGACATGGTTTAGTGGGCACGGTGGCGTTGGGTAGAAGGTTGGACTTGATGATCTTTGAGGTCTTTTCCAACCATAATGATTCTGTGAATCTATGAATTACTCAGAAAGACTAAGCCCTTTAAAACAGTATCATAATGACGTGTGTTCAGCCTAAACACAGGACTGGTTGTTAAGAGTTCAAGTGGGTTCTATACAGCAGTGTTCTGGAAGGAGTATTTTCCCGTTTTGGCAACATACAGAGTCTCTTGGGAGTATGTCGGTTAAGATTTTGTGTGGTTCTTACCACTTAAAAGTTATGGTAATTTAATTGGTATTTAAAAAAATATTCTGTAAAGTAGATCTTGCAAAAATCTGGAGCTGTGTTCAATGAAGTATAGCTCTGTGTCTGTTAAGATTGTATTGAGATTGTACTGATATATATTTTTTAAAAACTAGATGAGCAACAACAGTAATAAGAGAGCGCCAACGACGGCAACACAGAGACTTAAACAAGACTACCTTCGAATTAAGAAAGATCCAGTGCCTTATATCTGTGCAGAGCCCCTCCCATCTAATATCCTTGAATGGTAAGAATTGGAATGAACTATTCACTCACTTGTGGAGACAACAAGATTTTCCAAGTAATTGAGTCTGACTCCCTCACTGCTACAGATTCTATGAGAATCTGTATGAGAATTGTATGAGAATGGTTTTGGGAGGTGGAGTGTGAAACTTTTGCTGAAGTGATATTGATCTTAACTTTTCTAGAGAAATTGGTGGCTGGTTGTACGATAGCTTTCATACTGTTTAAATTTCCTTCTTTGTCTTAGGCACTATGTTGTACGGGGACCCGAAATGACTCCCTATGAAGGTAAAAGCATGTAGCAAAAGTGTGCATGTACGTTATGGTGTAATTGGCATGTCTGAGTAATTACATGCCTGTTTGAATGGGCAAAATATAATACTGTAAATAGCTCTAAAAACTGTTAGTGCAGTTTCAAAGCTGTCTGTGACTTGTGTGGTAGCTTGTTGAAAAGAGGTAGTGGTGCTGTTGTCTATTAGTAATTTTTCTGTTATCAGGGATTCTAACAAAATCACATTTAGGTTAAACTGAAGACAGATAACTTCCTATTAAGTAATTGCTAAAGATGTTGGAGCAGATCATTCACTTTCAGTAGTATGTGACAGTCAAAGATAATTTCAAAAAATCCCATTTTGTTAACCCATAAATGTTCTCAGTGAACTGAGTGAAATATTCTCTTCATTAATTTCTCTGCAGAAAGTGAGGAATGTAAAAGCCTTACTAATTTGTAGTCATCACATATTTCATAATGTCTTCTGGAGCCTCTCACAAAATGCTTTTTGAAATCTGATTTTTCATAGGATTGTATTCGCAGTTAGCTGTGTTTCTGGAAAACTAGCCTATTTGTATTGTATTAAATACACTTTGGCTGGTTTTCCTTAAATGTATTATGGACTTGACAACAGGAAGTACTGTTTGTAATAAGAAGGTGAGAGAATTGCCTCCAAAGTAAATCTACTGCAGGTGTGGATTATTATTTCTGTGTTTTAGAGGCACAAGATGATGAGCTTGACCTCTTTAGTGTGAACGAGGAGAAGGAGACAAGTAAAGGGTTTTATTTGGCCCATTTTGAGTAGCAGCTTAGGACTTCATCTTCATGCAAAATAAGTAATTCATCTCTTTATGTAATGCAGGTGGCTATTATCATGGGAAACTAATATTCCCCAGAGAATTTCCTTTTAAACCTCCTAGTATTTATATGATTACACCTAATGGAAGGTTTAAGTGTAATACAAGGTAAGGACTTTCTTCTAACACTTAAGCAATTAACACCATTTTAGCAATTTGTATAATGTGTAATAGTTTTAATGGCAAAAATAAAACACACTGCCTGTCTTACCCTTTTGAAGGTTGTGTCTTTCAATCACTGATTTCCACCCGGATACATGGAATCCAGCTTGGTCAGTCTCAACGATCTTGACAGGCCTTCTTAGTTTTATGGTGGAAAAGGGCCCCACACTGGGCAGCATAGAGACGTCAGAGTTCACAGTAAGCTCCAGACTGTGTGATGTGCCTTTTGTCAGCTTGGGGAATGTTGAATGTGATCTCAGAATTAAAACAACAGCAGCAGCTGGCATTTTGATACCTCAAAAATGAGTATGTTATTGCCTACTACAGATGATGGGCAGCTAAGTCAATTTTAGCTAGTGTGGGAATGGGGAGAGGATTTCTTAGAGAACTTACAATCCCTTTTAGTAAACGTTATGGTTAAGACTTTCTCCTTCTTCTTGAGGCATCTGCCAAGCAGTCACACTAGAACAGAACACTAATCCCATAAGATGAAGAATTGAGAGCATAACTTATGTTTAAAAGTGTCTGTTGTAGTGCGTAATATTCACAATGGTGAAGTTTTAAATGTTAGAAGCTAGTTGGCTAGTGGTTTGCACATTTCTTGTGGGAAATAGTCAGAAGTTTAGTTGAATTAAAGTAAATTAACTTTATTTACATGCAACTGCTGATAATTTTTTTTTCCTCCACAGAAAAGACAGCTCGCTGCACAAAGCTTAGCATTTAATTTAAAAGATAAAGTCTTCTGCGAGCTCTTCCCTGAAGTGGTGGAGGTAAGGGAATTCATCCGTACAATAATTTGGGTTTTTGTAGTTCTTCAGCTTCTCCGCATAGAACTGTAAACTAATTGTTTAGGACTTTTCCCAGACAGTAGTTAACTTTTATCAGTCTTGTAAGCCTTTTTTAAAAGGCACTTTTGTTATATGTAAAAATTAAAAACTTGAATCTTGAAATGGAATTGTTTTTCTGCTGCACAAAGATCCATTGTATAGAGAATCAAATATGTGTGTTTAGGGTTGGTATCATAGCTTTGACTGAGCTGCACATGCAGCAGACGTGGTGGCGGTCCCAATGTTTTAGAATTGTATATTGTGTTTTCTTGAGTTTGGGTAGGACTAATCTTTGTATATCTGGACTTGGTCCATCAATATTCTAGATTTTTTTTCTTAATTCTGCTTTAAGATCAGAGACGGTTACATTTTTACTGCTTAACTTCCAAGAACGGGTGATACCTTGTTAGGGTTATGTATCTTCCTTGCACAACACTAACCCTGTAGGTGTGTTGATGCACAGTTTATATTGCCATGTATAGGTAATAGCTGAAGGATATAGAAATTTGCTTTGTGTCAGCTTCTGAAAATGGTTACCCTTCAGCTAGACAACGGTTATACAGATGGTATAGGTTTAAGAAAGAAAGGGCAAAAGAGAAGCATCTCACTTCATTCAGACCTCTGGGATTCTCTAGCCAATTTCCACTGATGGTACTTGGTTCTAGAAGATCTCACTTATGAATGAAGGATGCTTCTTTCTTCACTCCTGTATCAAGAGGATTCCTTCCCTTTAACTTCTTAGTGAAGGAATGTGGTTCTTTCAGTCTGCTGTTGAGACTTTGAGAGTTAATTTTCTGCGTACCATACGAATAGGAACAGTTTTCTGTTACAGACTCTGTTTCGTGACTCTGGAGTTACAATATTACAATGCTGATGCTCATTGCAATTTGGAATTCTAGGCGTAAAATCTGTTTTGTCAGACAAACTGTTTTGGGCTGTACAAATTTCACCAAATTGCAAGTCTTAATTATTGCACAAAGAATATATAGTGTCGAATAGTAGGGAGAAGATACAGAAGAGCTTTTTCCCAGCTGTTTTCTCAAGCATGAGATGTGTATTTTTGTTAGAGATAACCTGAAGTCATAAACATATGAGCCCAGCTAGTGAAGTAAGCATTGTCCACAGACAGAAATAGCCTCAGAGTGCTGAGTGCTTATCGAACTTCAGGTTTCATTAATCTATTATTATTCTTAAAGGTATTCACAAAGCTCTAGTTTAAAAACCATTCTCCCTCTTCGTTTCCTTTTGGGACAACCTTCTGGGAAAAGAAAAGTTTTACCTCCATTTCTTTTCTTCCTCCTGCAGATGTAAATCTGAACTGAAGGTGTTAATTGCATTTTCTTATCAGTTACAAGAATGCCAGAGAATAGGAAATAACTTTTTGCAGCTGTGTTCCAAGTACAGGCAGATTTTTAACATGTAATACTTAGAAGCTTAAAAAGATTAGGACTGTGATCGCATTCTTCGCTTTTTTAATGTCTTGTGTTCAAAACAAGATATGCAAGACTTTTAATGCAAGAATTTCTCATTTCTGGGAAAAGGCTTCTCAGAGAATGTCCATGTGAACAAAAAATAAACTTGGCCAAATGATTGTTAGTGTCAACTACTGAAGTAGGTCACTTTGGAAGAAGTTGGGGAGACTCTGCAGATGTATGTAATGCAGTTAATTTAGTTTAACAGACCTGCAATATAAAGAAGTGTACCATATCTTTTTCCTAAAGTTACAGAAGACCTTGGGTTCTGAAATTTTTCAAAACACCCGGTAGCTTCACCACTTTCATGCCCAGCTATTCATTTTTTTTTTTTCTTTCTCCAGGAGATTAAACAAAAACAGAAAGCACAAGAGGAGCTCAGTAACAGACCTCCATCCCTCCCTTTACCAGATGTTGTCCCTGATGGGGAAGCACACTACGGTCAGAATGGAATACCCCTTCTTAATGGGCATGTACCATTGGCACCTGCCAATCATCCAGGTCTCCAGCAGGCCAACCGTAACCATGGACTTTTAGGCGGAGCTTTGGCGAACTTGTTTGTTATAGTTGGTTTTGCAGCCTTTGCCTACACAGTCAAGTATGTACTGAGAAGCATAGCGCAAGAATGAGGATAATAAAAGAAATCCAAGACCAAATTAGTGGTAGTTGCAGAATGAGTGGGACTCTTTGGGCATCTGACTCTGACACTGGGATAAATATTTGTTTTACCAAGTTGCAGGTAAAACATTGGTTGGCTCATGGGTTATGTTTGGGAAATGGAGTAGTTTTGCTTAGTCAGAAAACTAAAAGAAGTTCTGCTCGCAGATGCTCTTGTCCTCGCTACTGTCCAGTAGTGGCTCACAAACAAGTCAAAGCATTATTGATGAGATGCTAACATTTCTAGTGCTTTGATTTTTATAGCAGTTCTCCATCTGTTATTTGAAATTTGAAAATCTTAAGCAAATAAGGCTTTTTACTTCATTGAACAATTTTTAAAATTTCACAATTAATGCATATCGTATTTTATTTTCATTAGGAAAGAGTCTGTACAGGTGTTGAAATGATTCAAGTAGAGATTTCCTGTGGATTTGGTAAGGGTTTGGTTAATGTGAACATTGATACTACAGAAGATTGCTGGTTTCTTATTTAAAATAGAATGAACATCATTGCATATCTAGTCAGTAGTGATTAGATGAGTGGGAAAAGAACACCTTGTGTGTTAAATGTGTTTAAATTGTCACAATGTTATTGAAGGTTTTATTTGGGCTACAAGAAGTGCAGTTACCGGCCTTTAGGAATGATTAGCAAGAAAAAGCATTTGAATCAGTCTTCAGTGGGGATACCCATCCAGTATTGTTTTGGTTTTGTTCACTTACAGATTTCAGTTTTGGGAGGTGTTATATTTGAGAGCTGTAATACTTAATTTTGATCACAAGGTGCCACTGTTGGAAAAAAAAAAATAAATCTGCACACACCAATGGAGAGTTGATTGTGTATTCAGAAAATGTTCTCTGAATTTCTTGGGCTTTGGTAAATGAAGTAACCCTAGCCCTTGTGGAGATAAAAAGACAAATAAGTCTGAATAACAAACCAGCTTCTTCAGAGTCAGCTGAATTAACCTGAAGTATCACTGGCTGAAGTAAACCCTTAAAAGTAGTTCCACTCGCTTAATTGAAGATTTGCATAAACTCTGAAAAAACCCACCACCACAAGCCAAAACCCAAACCCGTCTAATTTGTCTAAGATTCTAGAAGCATTTTGCTTTTAGATATAAGTTCATCACTGTTCCCCTTCAGATGATTGATGACTGAAATACTGATGTTTGTTCATGGGATTACAGGACTGTGGGTAAACACTAAAGCTCCTAGGGTAGTTCAAAAGTCTGTCTGAAATTACTTTTTTAACTCCGTTTGCTTGGTTCCCCCCCCCCTTAATTTTGTCCGAACTCTTCGTTTCATCAGAGGCAAACCTACTGTGCCTTTCATAATTGACAGTGATGCCTAGTCATCTGGGGAAGAACGCACTCACTGTTCATGTTACAACAAACTGTCAAAGGTGATAGCAGGGTGAAAAGCTCTGCATCTCACTGCATAGTCTTATTTTAAGTATTGTGAAGAGCCCAAATAAATATTACCTCACGTATCTAAGAATGTTTTTGAAACTCTCTTATTTTCCCTTTCAGATCTACTCTGTCTCTTGCTTCTCCTTGGTATCTTGAATTGTAAGCAAAAATGTATTGTTAACCCATGAGCCATGCAGCTTAGAGCACCAATAAATGTGACCAATTCTCTGCAATAGGTAGGAATTACCAAAACTAGCAGAACAGCTATATACTAAAGAAATCTTAAAGCAGTTCTTACTGAGGTAAGGAAAGGAGGGAGGAGTCAGGGTGTGGGGCAATGGAATTTGGAGAAGGGTGGATTTTAAAATGTATTTATAAATCTTTCATTTTTTTTTTAATTTTGTGGTTTTACCAAATCTTATTTATAACTATTTTTTAATTTACCTCTTATACGTGCTTAATCAGCTCTTGTAAAAAGAGAAGCATCAGTTGTATCTATTTAGAAACAGTTAACGTTCTGTTGATCTGAGGGTGTGCTGGAAAGGAAGGGGGAGTGTCATGTCTTTCCTGCAGTGACAGAATTTTCAAGATGACTTGTCAGACTGATGTGTTTTTCTCAAAGCATACAGACCTGTAGCTGAGGCTGTCCTGCCTCACAGCTCTTAGTATCACTCAAATATGTTTGCGTTCTCGCAATGCCTTTTATTACCATCGACATCACTTACAGACAGAAGCTTATAATTGGTTATCTATGTTTATCTCCTTATGGAAGTTCTTTTGTCCACGTAAATGAAGACAAAGGCAAGGAGACTTTGGATGTGGTGTGTTTGCGTGTTTTGTGAAATGTACCTAACCAAGGTAAAAGAACTAGTAAAATGCAGAGATGTTGAATAAAAGGCATTTTATTATATGACAAGAAGTTGACCTTAAGCTACACCCAGGCATTCGAAGGTGGGTCTGTTGTTTTTAGTAAGTGCCACAATTGGAAACAAAACAACTTTAGTTAAACCCTGGACATGCTGCATTTTTTCTGAGGATTGGTTCTGTTATAAAAACAAAGCTTCCAATTGCAGTTTCTCTTCAGTACCCTGGATTGAGAGAAAGATTTGACAGTCATTTGAGGTGCCATTTGTTGAAAGCTAGGATCAATAGCTGACTGAACCCTCACACCTATGGCTTAACAAGATTTTGATACATCTCCTTGCTCCTTGCCTTTGGTAATGGAAGATTTACTCCCTTTTGTGTCGGTTTTACCGTTTTGTGTTTTTTTAAAAGAATTTATAATACTATGTAGTATCTGATCTTTTTGTTACCAAAGTCATTAGATGGAGTAAAGCATTCTTTGCCATGCAAAAATATTATCATGCCCAGATGCAGTGCATTACTTAATGTAATAAAACTCGAAGCTGTCCTTCAGTATATGATATTGGAACAAATGTCTGGCCCTTTACTTTCATGCTGCAATTTCCTAGATTTCTGTAAGATTGTTGTACACAGGTGGTAGGGAGTTTTTGCAGCTTGAATCAGAAGACATCTCAGTGGTTGCCTTTAAAGATCTCTTGATTTTTAAAGTCCTGGATTTGTGTGTAGTCATAACTTTTCTCCCCCTAAGATTTCAAGGTCACAGAAGTTACCTTATTTCAAGCATGTACTGAGGAGTAGAAATGACTGCATTGTAAAGTTGTTTGTTCATAATAAACATTCATGATAAAATTTATACTTTCTGTGGGACTGTTTTTGGGAAAGGAGTCACTGGGAAGAAATCTAACTGGGCTAGAAAACAAAAACTAAACTGTGGCAAAACCGCATCTCTCGCACCTCCAGATTTATGTTTTTTTTTCCTCAGGTTAGTTTGGTATCCCTTACATCTGTGGTAAAACACCGCCAGGAAGACCTACAGGTAGTAACTTCTTTTAGATTTTTTTGTCTGATAATGCAGTTCCTCTACAGGGAGGTATTCGCTCTATAATGACATAAATGTCACAACTGTCACTGTAGCACAGTACCTGTTTTCAGTACCTATGCTGAGACACGTAGGAGACTCTTAAGATGCTATTTCACTATTTTTGCCAACAGTTAGGATGTCTCTGAAGAAAAAAGTAGATTGGAACCTTACTACTAACTCAGCAGGCTGTTTGAGTACAGTTGGACTTCATTCTGTTGCTATTCCCATAACATCTGAATAGCTAGTTCAGTGGTATTTAAACAGCTTCAGCTCTGTGTAAAGCAGTAAATGTTACTCAGAGGCGGTCTTCACTTTTGACTTTTAGAATTTGATTTTGGAGTGGCATTCCAGTTGTGTGTGTGAATCGAATGTAGTTGTTTGTAATAGCAATAACTTGATGGAAGTGAGGTTTTTTTGCTTGACTGACATCTGGAGCTGAACTGTGTCCTAATTTGCTTTATGAAATGATGCGTTTTCCCTAATAATGCTGGTATTTCTGCTTTTTTTTTTTTTCCTTATTCAGAACCATTCTTGTGCCTGGAGTTCTTTTGAACTCAATCGTTTAGACGTAGCACTTTCTCAGTTGCCCTGCTTCAGATTTTTTTTTCCTGCTTGTATTAGTAAGGAACTAGTCAGATGAGGATAGCCATGTTGCTGTATTTCAGATCCATGTAGTCATACAGGGTTCTTGCTGTGAGAACACCCTAGGCAAATTCTGTAGGGAGAAAAACCCCAACCTTTCTATTGCGTTTGCACAAGTACTTGGATTTGAAACTGATCCTGGGTGTTGATCGCGTGGATCTGGACAAGTATTAAATGGGAAACTCTCCCATATACAGAAGGCCAAAGAGATGCTGCTTTCCCATCTGATGGATTCTCCAACTTGAGTTAAATGTGTAAGCAGTCAGCAAGTGACAAGCTGTCTTTCCTTCAGAAAAGCAAGCTCAAAATTTGTGATTAGAATTACTACCTTCAGCCCTATGCTTCAAAAGGTATTTTTTGAATGTCTCTGAATAATTGCTGCTGCTAACTTGTTGCTGTTAGTGGCTTATATTGCAGCCCGGTCACAGGAAGACAAATGTACAAGATGGTATTTTTTTCACTGCCCAGCAAAGACCAGATCTTACTTCTGAAAGTAGGAAAGTCATGTTTTCAGTGGAAAAATCGCCTACATGCACCCACAAAAGGGAGGCTATTGCAAATGAACTCAAAGCATTCATGTCTCATGTTATTGAAAAGACTTTCCTGGGCAACAAATGAGGATGATTTATTAGGGTTTACTTTTATCAGCAGTAAAAGCTTTGCCCCAGCAATGTTCCTTCACACCTCGGTCGCTCCAAAGAGCCCACTGCAGGGGAAACCTTATGAGTCGCAGCAAAATGTTCTGCAAAGCGCCTCGGTGTTTCTGTGGATTTGCCACGAGATGGCGTCGCGATCCCGCGTGGGTCGTGAGCCAGCAGTTGCCAGACAGCCGGGACGGTGACTGTGTTGGGGCGAGGTGGGTGGGAAAGAGCCAAATGGAGGGGGGTCTCTCAAACCTGGGGGGTGAGCAGCTCTGCCAGGGGGCTTGGCAGAAGGCAACCGAAGTGGCCATAAGCTTTTGGTCTGGCTTCCCAAAACTGCTCTTTTGTCTGCTGGTGTGTTTAGGTTTGTTCTAACAGCTTCTGTATGTTAACCCAGTGAACAGCTTGAGTTTATATCGGATTAATGTTGGGAAACTTCACGTTTAAACCTAGGGTGGGATCATAGGAGTACTCTAGACCTTTATCTGTCATGAAGCAGCGGTGAGTGTGTGTGTCAGTGAATGGCAACGTGCCTTCTACTGTATTGGTTTAAAAAAAAAAAATCAATCACCATTTCTGTACCAAGGCTTAGGAGTGGTTCAATATATCTACAATGGGCAACTCGGGGAAAATCCTAGCTTTTGACCTTTTGACTTTTGGATATTATTTTTAGCATAGTTAGGTAGGTCTATCTTGAATAAAAGGTGAATTGCATAAGTAGAGATTGAGAGATCAAATCACAAGTTTCCTGCCTGACTCTTCAGTTTCCTCTCTAGCTTTACACACACTTCTTACAGTGTTTGCAAACCCTGTATTTTCGTTCTTGCACACAGTTTTGAAATGTAAATGTGGCTTCTTACAACATCTTCCCTACTTCAAAACTTTCCTCATGCAGAATTGATTTTGTTACATTCTTAACTATTCCCGTTATTGCTGCAGTGATGCTGAGCTCAAAGAAGAAACTATTTGTCTTTTTAGTCACTTTGAGATCCTTGGTTTGCTGTGCTATGAAGTGCAACATCAGCCTATTTTTGCACTTGGGAGTTGGATGTTGTTCGTGCATTGGGAAGACTCAGGTGCTTTGGAACTGCTGCAGCTTGGATGCGAGAACAGCAGTAGCAAGGTGTGCAATTTTCTACAGAGAATGCAAATGCTGAATTGAAGGTTGGAGGAGAGGTAACAACCGTGCTGACACTGCTTTCAGCCCAACATGGAGAAAAGTATACAGTCGGGAGTTAGCTACAGTCCATTTGTCCTAGTGGACCATCAAGTAACTTTGCCTTGTGCTTGCAAATGTAGTTAGGATTAATTTCCCCCAAATCTGAAGATACAGTCTTGGGTTTTGGCTCTTGGGATGGGAAGGGAGATGTTGCAGGCAGACAGATGCAGCCTGCGCCAGCAGACCAAAAAAGCGATTATCCCATTCCAGCCTTGAATGTCCTTTCTTGCCATGGTGTGTGGATCTGTCAAGCTGTTTAGCTGCAATATGACAGATTGTCCTATTAATGTGTCGTCAAGTGCACTTTTACAAATTCATGGCTTGTCTACAACTAACCTGAAAAAAGAGGCTGAAGTATGAGAAGGCGCCAAAGAAAGTTAAATATTATTAACAAATAAAGTCTGCCACGTAGTTTTGATGGAATGTGAGCTAGTTGGGGGAGGGGTGATATGCTGTTAACTATTTAGCTTCTGTCTAACTTCCCTTCTTGCTCTCACTCTCTTCTCTTTCCCAAACTCAATTTCTCTCAAAAGATGCTGTAAAGAATATATCTGTGTTCTACTTTTTGATTTTTGTGCTCAGATTGTTCATGCCTCAGTTTCCCTGAGCCATAGATAATAGAGCTGTTGCTCCTGATCCACCCTTGGCTGCCTTTAAAGTCCAATGAAGAACTGTGCTGGTATTATTACTTGGATTACAGAAAGCATAGTAAAGGGATTGTTAGAAGAAAGCAAATCTATTGCTGGCTGACTGCATAAGGGAATTCAGATTATATGATCTTCAGTTTTTTATCATTCTTGGACTTTCTGATGGTACAATCTCACAGAAACTTTTGCATCACACTCTGTATTTGTAGAAAGAATAGCAATATTTGTTCTAGGTGGTAGGGAACTGACAAAAGATTTGCAGACTGTCCACGTACTTCAAGATCTCCTTTATGAAATGCTTGTAGGAGATGTGTAACCTTTGGTTTTCTGTTACTTTTAATAAACAGTCCACCCTTCTGTAAAGAAATCAGCTCCCATTGAGCCAGCCTCTAATGAGAGCTAGGGGAAAATGTTGTATGGAACAGAGCTAACTAGAGTATAAAGCAAGAGTTCGGATGTATCAATGTGTGGTGCGATGCTGAGTGCATATTCCAAGCCACATATTTTTAGCTCTACCACACACTCATGTACAGTTTTACAAACTTCCCAGAAAAATGGTGATTTCTCTGAGATAATGAAGGGGAGGTACAGAATAGGGCTGAGGGGAGGGAGCAAGGAATGGGCATTGATTTAAATCTGCCTGGCACACGGACCAGCTCCACTTATCAGTGAGTCTAATAGGAATGTGAAGAGAATAGGCTTGACAGCTCATTAGAATGTGATCCCTCCTCCTTTTTTCTCTTTCTTTTTTTTTTTTTCTCCCCTTTCTTGAAGTTGATGGAAACTCATTCAGGAAAGAAGTAATTATTTGCTGAGGTAAAGCAAAAGCTGAGGAGGGTTTTGCCAGTGTGCAGCTGAAGAAAGGAGCACTGAGAAAAATCAGACGTGATCTACACTCAGAGGTACCTGAAATCTTGCCTAGTGTGAGGGGAGATGATGAAAAAGGCACGCGCTTCTGCCTCTTGACAGCTGCTTGCGGCATCGGGACTTGCTGCTCATCGTCTCATTAAAGAAACGTGAAGATAAACTCAGCTAAAGAGGGAGAGGAGCTCGACTTGGGAAAACTTTATCTGTTCCTAATGGACCTAGGTACATCCTCCAATTCTTTGCTTCTCACTGTTTTATGATATGAGAAATTTATTTTCTCCTTAGAAGGCTGAGCACTTGGCTGAGCTGTGATGCTTTCAGCCTCTTCAGAAGAGCCGTGGCTGTAGCAACCTTGGATTACAGTTCCCCAGCATCTTGAAAGGAAAGGATGAGGACTTGTCACTGAGGAAAGGGAAGTATCATCCAAGAGAGAATGGATGGAACATATTCAAGCCTCCTTTGAACTGAACACAATGCTTCAAATGACAGAAAGTGAAATCTCCTGTTGAAGAGGAACAACCTAACAACCCCCCTAATGAGTTTGTGTTGTCAGCTCCGGCCTGAGCAACTGTTGCCCTGAGCAGTTTGACTTCTCTAGGTTTCATAGTTGAGTGCATTTTAAACGAGTCTGAAGAATTATTGGGGGGGGGGGGAGCAACACTTCAAGGTGGGTGGCAGGACTTTCCAGGGCCCCTTGTATTTATGTAAGCTTCAAGAGGCTGAATGGACTTACCTCTTTCTTCGAGTGAATCCAGATTTTCAGACAAGTTTATCTATACCATTTCCATGTGTCCTGCTTGAACAGAGATCTCTCCAGCAACCAGCGCATCCATGCATGCTGCTCATTTGACATTGCATAGCCCACAGGATCATCTTTAACAGTTCTAACCTTTTTATTTTTTATTTTTTTAGAGAGAAGTCTGTGTCTATTCCTGGTATTGGTGGTGAAGGTTTTTGTGCTTGGAGAGTGCCCTTCCTGACTTGGCCCCTCCCTTTTCAAAATGAAGGGGTGCACCTGGGTGTTTGTGGCAACTTTACTTTGTCAGCAGTTTTGCCTCTTCAGAGTTACGGCAGCAAAGAGAGAGAGAAAGATGAAGAAAGAACCTAATCAGTACACAGAGCCTTTCAATGCTACCCTCTCAAACAGCGAAGAACTGCACGGGCATCCCAAGGTAGGTGTTTATGTATTGTCAGTGCTTGGTAGAACTTGTTTCTGGCAGTAGTGTGATGCTGGTTCATTTTCCAGTGATTGAGGCAATCTTGCCAAGTTCTATTTGATTTTAAACAGAAATGTTCTCTCTTTTGCCTTTGCTTGCTTGATTTTCTAGCTTACTGAAGCAAACACTGGAATACTACAATTTATGATTATAATTTATTTTAGAATATGCATGACTGAAGTTCCAGGCCCATAGCAGCTGATTAAGTGTAAAGATATTTTGGAATTCTAGTGTATGAACACTATCCTGTTCAGAAACAACTGATTAAAAAAAGACGAGTGGGCTGTCGCAGTACAACAATGATACTGGAATATTAATGTATCTCTTGCAGGCAAACCCTTTACTCTCCGAAATGTTATTTCAAACTTCCTTAGGCAAATACAACACTATAAACATCTGAGCATGCCTGAGCTTTCTCTGCACTGCATCTTCCACCAGAGAGGCTGTGATGATTGAGAATTAGAGATGAGAAATTTTTGGTGTAGTCAGATGATCTGTTTAAGGTGATTGTGGCTCTTGTAGGAAAGGATTCAGGATGGTGCTAACTGTGCATAAGTGGCAACTGTGAGACTGTGTGCATGATACCTCAGTGGCAGTAGCTGATGACTTACTAGGCTTAGTGAGTGAATTTTCCAGTTACATGTTTGGGAGAATCATGCCAGGCTGAAAGCTGCAAAAAATTTCCAGTCAATTGATCAGAGCCCCCAGAATCCTTTAAGATTTTGCATAGAATTCTTGGGAGTAGGAGAGGGGATTAGGGAGTTAAAACCAGGTCCTAGGATTAGGAGCAGGATGAAATGGAAGGGAGACTACAACACTGAGAAAGAAGGGAGTCTCTGCTATCACACAGCCCCTTCTCTCTCCCTCTCCCTCTCTCTCTCCACCTCCCCCCCCCGCCCCCAGATGTCCCTTGTTTCAAATGGAGATGACCTCTAAAACATGACTTTGATCATAAGCATTAGGAATGGCAGTCACTATAGCAATAGAGGAACAAACCTGTCAAAAATTGGGGCATGGCAGAGGGGGCAAGTTAGAACAATTGGGCTGACATTCTAAATATCCTGTTCAATGCTATTGTGAGAGTAATTGGTTAAGGTTGGGCAAGTCTGGGAAACAGTCCTCTATATAAAAAAGCTGGCTGCTGCACTTAAAATTATCATTAGGAGACTGTAAGCAGCATTTCTTCAGCTAATTTTTTGTTGTGTATTGCAGGGCTCTGTCAGGGCAGGTTGTATACATGCTAAATTCTTGAGGTGCTTATAATCAATCACTTTCTTCTACTCTCTCTAGATCTGCTTCATTCAGCTTTTGCAAAAGGGGCCAGATACATACCTGGTGCAACTAAATTTCAGTCTATTCTGGAATTAATTTGGCTTGATGTGAAATGTATTGGACGGCAAGCAGAATATATTCTGATTGCAAAAGCAAGCAGAAGCTGGTCCTGGTTAATTCTGATACAGTCGTACATACATTATTGCTAGAAGAAACACAGTCCTCATTCGGAGGCTAGTGGGCATTCATTAAAACAGACATTGTTTGGAAGCTGCAGTTTCTGTGTTGAAATACTTGCTTGAAAATATCCATGGCAAAGGTTTGGCTGCAGTAAGAGCTGGCGAGTTCTGTGAAGGCAGGTTCTGTTTAATAAGGATAGGATGAATCCAGATCTTTGATGTAAATGCTTATGAGCTCTGCTTGATATCCACTCCCAAATTTTGCAGGGTGAACTCTTCTCCTTGGAATCTATTTGAGGTTGAAGTCCAGGCTGTAGTTAAGTATTGCTTCTTAATGTCATGGGTGACTGTAATTGTATTTTATATTTATATAGCAGCTAAGGAGTTATTTTACACACACTATAAATGCAATGCTTAAGAATTGCCACCATTTCTGGGGTAAATGACAGTTGCCATTTACAGCAAAGCATCACAATTTGTATTCACTAAAGGAAGAAGTAAAGTAATAGTGAAGGTACCTAACCTATCAAGCTGAAGAAAAGTTGAAAGCGGTTCTTTGTGGAAGGCTGATCTCTTTGAGCCTTGAAGGTACTTCTGTGAGAAGTTTTGTTTCATGAAAGGATGCCCTGCACAGGGAATTGAAACAACAGCAGCGTCCCATTTCATTTTTCTACAGCACATAACAGGAAAGATTGAAATTTTGTGGCCTTGTGCAGTAAAAATTGAGGCTATGTTTATGTTGGAAGGCTCTGTGGCCAGCTGGTAGGTTTATCAAAGCAGAAGGAGCAGGGAATGAAATATTAGCTGAGAGTAGTGATTTTTATTCATGCTGTTGAAAAGGTAGATATTCTAATTAAGCAAAATGATTTGAGATAGATTTCTCTCAGGAATTCTTTTCAAATAGGAGTGGAGAAAGCTCCCCTTTAACATTCACAGTGCGTCATGAAACCTCTACCTAAAACAGGGAAGCAGAAGTCTCCTGATAAACCTTGTATTTCCAAGGAGATAGTGTATTGTTTTGGGTTTTTTTTTGAAAAATTTTTCTCCAGTCTTATCTTTGCTGAGTTGCTGTCAATGTGATGTGCTTGCCAAGCACACAAGAGTTTTCTTCTCTGACACAGGTGGACTAAGAGAGCAGAACATGACTGATGGATACAGAATTTCATCTGCTGGACCTTCTTTCTTTGACTGTGTGTGGCTGAGTACCTGCAAGCTGCCACTTGCCAGCCTTGCCTTCCCCTTTCCAGGCACAGATCTTGACTTGCAAGATGTGATATTATACTAAACCAGATTCAACAGTAGTAGATTGTTCAGTGGTTATATAGGGTTGACACTGATAGGAAGTTACCATTTGATACCTGAGCAGAGGGACTACAGATGGAGTCAGACTCTTAGTGCCTAGTGAAAGGACAAGAGGCAGTGGGTACAGGTTGAAATACGGGAAATATCACTTAAGTGTAAGAAAAAAAGCTGCTTTACTGTGAAGATGATCAAACACTGGAAAAGGCTGGACAGAGAGGCTGTGGAGTCTCCATCCTTGGAGTTGGTCAAAACCTGATTGCACGTGGTCCAGAGTAACCTGCTCTAGTTCACCTACTTAGAGCCAGGCGTGTTGAAGTAGACAATCTGTGGATGTCCTTTCCAACCTCATCTGTTCTGTGGGCTGCTTTTAGGGGTAGTTCAACTAAGCAACTCAAAGACAACATCCTAACCTGCAGAAAATTATTGACTCAACGTCCCAGTGCAATTTCAGGGATGATTTGTTGGGAACAGGTTTTTACCTTCAGTGGAATTTCTGCAAGAAGTAGTGTAATGTTTTTAATTTAGGTACCCACTACATAGCCAAGGAGTCCTGGAAATTTTATGTCCTTTGTGATCCTTCTCTATCAAATATCTAGGGCTAGGTCTACCTGGTTTATTACTTAAATCTCTGAATTATTTCTTTGGGGCCTTTTGCTTCCGATTGAAAACAGCAGCTGGTTCAATGACATTGCACAGATTGCATTCCTCCTTTGTAAAGACATTTCAGTCTTAGCCTGAAGTGTGTGATTGCTTGTGTAGTTGAGAAAAGTATTTTTGGGCCTGACAAGTGTTAAAGCCATGAGAGAGACTAGACTGTGACTTATCTGTAGTAGAACGTGTTCTCTTTCGTGTTTTGTATCTGTCATCATTGTCAGTCTTGCTCTGGCATATTATGAACGAGAAGGGCTACAACAGATAACGTGCTTCTTGGCAATTCCTTGTGGCCCATGTAAAATAATGTTGGATTCATACATCTGACTCAGCATATCAAGTAATTCAGTGCTTGGTCTCATTTCCCAGAACTGTCTGTAAGATTTTTAAAGCTCATTATTAAATTATGTAGTCTTCCATCAGATGTGGGTTTGTGTGCTAGATGCATTGTGCTGCACCTATTCTGTTGGTGCTGCTCAGTTCCTTACCTTTTTGTGGCATCCCTAAAGACAGAACTCTGCTGGTACAGCCAGGGGTGGCACTGGTTAATCTTCCAGTACAGCTAACACATGAACAAGCATCATGTCCTTTTCTCACTCGGAGTAGGTCTTGCTCACGTGAACTGTTCCATTAGATTAATTTGATTCATTATGGGTGTGACTACTGGAGGCAGTTTGTGTTCAAGTGGAGGGGAGAAGCTTTTTGAGATAGAGGAGTGAAGTATAATTTTTCGATCAAAAAACGTAGTGGGAATTTAGGTAGGAATTGCATTTTGGATTTGGCTAAGATACCAAACCTAACACTTCTGCTCTAGGGAAAATTCTTGAGAGATCTGTAAAAACCACAAGTGGTCAGGACCTTGGTTTTACATCTCGTTAATAACTAAGAGTGTGTATAACCATAAGTTGTTAGCAGCTGACATAGGATTTTTCATGCTAAAAAAAAAAAGTGGTCTGTCACTTTTTAACCTTTTCCAAGTAAAATACAGTACTGAAATAAATAATTTGCTCCTAATTTCATAATGAAGCTGACAATACTCTTGCCAGTGTAAATCAGGTGTAACAACATAGAAATTTGTGGATTAAGATAATTGAAATACTTAGTCAAGTCCATTTTGTCTGGCAACTGCTTAAGTATTAAGCGAAGAATTCTTAAAGATAATTCCATCACGGATGGACGAATACATGGATAACTGTTTGAACAAAACTTGCAGGGCCGTAACTTCAGGCATAAAGACTGTGGACTGGAATGGTTAGGTATTTGTTCTTGGGCACACATCTCTGACTAATTGCAGGTGGAAAGGATGCTGTTGTCTCATAAAATTGTAACCTTTTCATGGTTTCTTTCCATCCTGTCCCACCCTGAGAAATGCTTAGGTGTGCCTGAGAACACTTTGAGATACTTTCAGGTGTACAGACTTGCTCACAGGTAGTGTTGACTTTTTTCTTTTATTCGTCCAGACTCTGAAACTACTTTTATCCATTTCACTTTGTTTTTTAGCAGAGATGCAGACTGGATCCCAGTATCCTTGAATTTCAGGAAAGTTCAGATACAGTTCAGAAATTTCTCAGGATCCAAACTCTGCTACTTGACTGTAGATTTCTGCTAGTAGTTTCTTCCGCGCTGGCTGAATCTTGGCCAGAGGCTGTGTGTGTCTCTGGGCAGTGCGTGCTGTTCTAGGAGTTAAAGCCAGAAAGAACCGCAGGTTCTGCTTGTGTGCAGCAGTCTAAATTACAGCTCAACTTGTCTTTTGTTGTGAGGGAAGTTAGGGACAGAGTGGGCTAATTTCTCATCAGTGTCATAAACTGGTTCTGAAGTGATAGGTGCTATTGTATTTGGATTCCAAAGTAATATTAAAAGACCTGATTGAAAGTTCATTAAAAATTTCTGGCAAGTTTTCTGTTGATTTTGGAGGTACTGTTTCAAGAGTGAAGGGGTAAGCCTGATTTCACTGTAGTTAACATGAGGATTCCTCCTCCTGACTCCTGTAGGTTAGCTTTGCTCTGCAAACAGCACCCCAGGAGCGACAAGTCCCCTTTGCTGGGATTCCAAGGCTGCTCTCTGTCCTGACTGATACCTGAGTTGGCTGCAAGGGCTCTCTGGCTGCTGGAGGCTGCTGCTGCCAAGAAAAATAGAGGCTTGCATGCTTATTGCTGGGATTGCTCATGCATGCCATAGTAATTAAATAATAATACCACAAGGATGGAACATTCATTTTAACTGTCAATCATCCTTGTGCTGGAGAAATTGGGGAGTGCCGTGACTGTCTTGTAGAGGGATTTGTAATTTAAGCAAGCCACTGGAGAGGTATGGGATTTTTTTAATTTTTTTTTTTTTAAACTTCAGGAGTTTTTCATTTATTTTTCTGGGATGTGCCATCTGGATTTCTTTTTTCTCCCTGACAAGATGTCTGCTCTGGCCTGTTTCTTCACAGCTGGAGCTCCAGAAAGGCTGAGGACATCTGTTTGTCTTCACAGTTAATGGTCAGAGTCTGTCCATGACTGCTGGCTTCTGCTTCTAGCTGGCCTGTTTCCTCATTTTTGCAGTGGAGGGGAGTTTATGCCTGTCTTGCAGCCTGGTGGAAACCAGGAATATTTGAATAATCTCTTCCGCATCTGCAGCAAATGCTGCATCCCATTTCCTAAGACTCTGGTCTTGTGTTTGCTGAGTTCTGGAGACTGCATTTCTGAGTTCCAGCCACATGAGCCAGCCCTTTTTGAAGGACGAACTGATTTTATTTTCCTTTTCTCTGCAACCCAGCTGCTCTTTTGCTGGCTTCTATTACAGTGCTGAGGGAATACTCCATCCTGCCTGAGTTGGGTGCTTCTATTAATAAGTTGCTTCCTTCTGTTTTGAGACCTGCACTGCAGCTTTACCACAGACCTGTCAGTCCCAGACACTGGTACAAAAAGACATCTGCTTCCTCTGGGCAAAGCACAAGTAGGCTTTTACCTGCTTTACATTTATGAGCTTTGTAAACTTAAATGCTCATAAATACAGTCCTCTGCAAGTGTGACCTCATATGTGGTGATGCTGCACCTATCTGTTTTCAGATGAAGTGGGGTAGGAAAGAACTAGCTTCTCCCATCAAAAACCATTAAATTTCCATGAAACTCTGATAAATATACTTCATGTTTATAGAAAGAAGCTGCACTTCGTGTGCTGTTCTAAGGACTTCTGCAAACTTTGTGAACATTTGCTTCTGGACTTGTTTACATGTTACAATAGATGGAGAGGTTTGCACCAAAGGACCTTCTCGGTCTGTCTTTGACTTCTTTCTTATGCTTCGCAAAAATCTGCAGCCAAGCAATCTGTGGGAAGATGATAATGTTTTAGTGAGGTAACTAACCTCACAATAGCTGGGATTTCCTACGGTGCTCCATTTACATTACGTTCCAACAGAAATTTGGAAAGCTATTTAAGTCCTGGGTGCAGTAAGTAAAAAAGACAAATAATAATTTAGCTAAAACAACCTACTAGAACCCCTTGATTAAAGCAGCAATTTACAGCTGACTGTAAATGTGGTTATAAACATAAAACGTCTGTTCAAGACTGATTTTGGTACAGAAATGATGAACGAGATTGATACGAATAGTTTGTCTTGCTCTTGTTTGCGATACAGGCTAAATCTGAGCATCGAGGGGAGTGTGCATAACCATAACTCTGGCTCTGATTAATTACAGTAGAATGCGTGAACGATATGGCGAAATGTCTTGGGATATCCTTGCTTTGGCTTAGAGTACAGATGGCAGCTACTCTGCAGCCATCTATCTGGAGGGGAGGATAAGTAGACTGCCTGAATAGAGCAATTCAATAGGAGTAGATCTTTCTGTGGGTTGTGTCTGAGCAGTAAATCACCTAAGATTATTTGCTGAATAAGAGAAGATAGAGTTCACTTCACAGAGTTTGAGTTGTATGTTTAATGAATACCCTTACTGAGCTTACAACACATCTGATTTCTGGGGACCTACTCATATTCTGCTGGTTTGTGAATCATTTGTTGACCCAAGCTTTTTGAAATAAATAGTTATGATCACATCAGCTCAGAAATCTATCACAAGTGCCTTGTACTACACCCATATGCCTGGATGAATGCTGGAGAGAGAGCCTTCCAGGCTCTGCATCAGCTTGGAAGCACCGCCATTGCTTATAACCTCAAGCTGGAACTCCAGCAGATTTTTAAGATTTACTTTTGAAACAATTTATGCTGCATGGATTTTTCATAGCAGATCACACAGTCTGTGGTCTTTTCTCCTCAAAGCGGGCTTGCCCTGATATTTCTAGCTAACATTTGCAATCCTCTGTCCAGTCCCTGATGCTCTCATATATTGTGACATATATTGTGGTTATTGGGACCTCAGCTCTGCCTGTACTCTAAAGGTTAATTGTTTTCTACATGCTTCTGCAAAGTATTTGATGAAAAGGAATCTATGCTTATAAGTGGTACTAGAAATGTTATTAAAACTCAGTATGGTTTTCTGAGAAGTGGCAAGCACTTTAGGGAGCCAAGTGAGACAGGTAATGGGCACACGTAGATGTTTGCTAACTTGGCTGCATTGGAAGCACCTTGCAAGGTCACTGTTACTGTTAAGGCCACTGAATGTAGAACTATGGTGTTTGAGCTGTGGCAGAACTGTCTGGTGGTGTCAGAGTAGTAGGAGCTTAATACCCAGGGGCAAACACTTTTAGATCTGAAAAGTCCACTGTTGACTGATTTTGCTTCTATGCTTTTTCCACACCCATCTTGTTTTCTTCCTCCTGAATGGTGATGGATCAATATTTATTTACCTAAACTTGTAATGGTCTAGGAATCATTTCAAATGTCATTCGACCCACTGCTGCCTTGTGTTGCTTTCCTGCTGGAATTCTGATCTGCACCTGTTCTGTCTCACCAGGAGAAGACAAAACAGGTTTCTTGAATGAATGCCAAAAGTTTACAATAGGCATAGAATGATTTGTTTGTTTGTTTTAAAGATTTTAAGTGTTCATTGCAGTTTTTCCTCTCTGGCTCTTTCATTAATGGCTCTGAATATTTAAGCATGGTTCATGAAACTTTGGGAGGGCTTATGCTTTTATCCTCACTATGATGGACATTTGGGAGGCTGATGTGTCAACAGATTGGAACGTCCATAGTGAATAGTTAATTGCTCTTGACAAGAGCATGTCAGGGTATTGGTAACCAATGATTTCTGGTGTCTTTTTTTTTAATTTAAAGTTAGAAATTCATTCCTAGCATATGAGAAAAACAACAGGTATGGCTATTTCACCACTTACTTCCATTTGTCTCTGGAAGGTGATCAGTGGGAACGAGGAAGTCCGATAGGAAGTGGACCCAAATTCATAAAGACAGATCCTCTCTTCAGTCCAGACTTTGTTTAGAAGGGATCCAGAACTAGGCACTGTAATGTCAAAGCCTCTCTAGATAATTTCTTTATGGCTGTGATATACTTGCAGAACATAGGAATGGGCAAGATAGTTAAATTTGCCAATGGGTATCTTTGCTGTGACTAGACGTGGACTTTGTTTTTCATTGTATATTGTGGTTTGTTTTTTTTTTCTGTGCACACATTTGTCACTCTACAGCCTGTGATTTGAAAGTTATGGAGCATTTCAAGGTTTTCTGTGTGTTTTAATCTCCCTGTATTGCTTGATTGATCCAACTGATAAATGTCAGATGCCAGTGGTGAACAATCTCTGGCATCTGGGCAGATTTTCTGTGGCAAGGACTGTCAGAGGGCTGAGAGTCTCAGCAGCTTGAGAAGGGTCTCTGAGGTACACTGGCTCCCACCTCCTGGCTCTTACTGATTCCTTAGACAGAAGGAGGTGGGAGACCCTGCAAGTGATAGCATATTAAGTTATGAGAAGGCATTTTTATGTTTTAAGGGCAGCATCTTCTGGCTTTTGGGACATTTCTGCTGGCAGGCTTAGCCTGTAACTTATGAAGAAAAAAATCCCACTGTAATGGGACTCTTTGAACAGCTGGTGTCTTGCCTGCACTGTAACAGAACTCGGGTTGAAGTACTATCCGGCATTTGCAATGCTCCTATAAATGAAGACAAAAAGTGACATGGCACTGGATAATCCAGACTGAATTGCTTGTTACAGAAGTGTGAAATCCCATTGTATCCCACTTTCAATGTCCTCCCAAATGCAGTACGTTTGGATCAAGGATATGGTTTAGGCAGCAGATGACAGTCTGGTCTGGAAACAGAATCTCTGAATCCCTGTGGTGGTGAAAGAGATACAGTGATATCAGTCTTTGTTCTTGTTTCTCTTCAGATCCTAGAATCTCCAGATCCTCGAATCACAGATCCGCGGCGGACCTGGATCTCCTTTGTTCACCGCCCAGATGATGGCAATACCTCTAAAAGGAGATGCAAAGGGAAAGACAAGAAATTAGTAGGTTATTGCTAGATTGCCATCAGCTAATAACTGTGCACTGTGGCTTCCCTTCCTACTGCTGATATGCAAGGTGTTTTGTATGTTCCAGCTTTTGCCTTCCTATCCCAGTGTGTCCTGCATTTTCATTTGTGTTTAATTTCTCAAAGTATTTTGGAGAAGTTTGAGATAATAAATGCTGTGTGCTTTGTAAGATAAGGTATGTGAATTCCACTGTCAACATTCATTTTTGTTTAAACCAGCTGTTTCTTCGACTGAGCCTTTTTTGTTGTTTTTTTTTTTCTGCTCAGTAGAAATAAAATTAACATTTTTTTTTCTTCCACTAGATAAAGCCCAAGTATCTCAAAGGATATATTAATCAAGGTGTGGACAAGTCGTTTATTTCAAATTAATGAATTACTGATCATCTGCTGAGTGGTGCTTGATCATGTGTGCACTTTGAATCTGCTGCTTAGACAATCTTGAATGCTTTTAATGATTTCCTTTTATTTCTCAGTGAGCTGATAGGCAGGAGTGCTTCCATGCAGGTTTACTGCAGTTTAGTTGAGGAAATGGAAACTCCCTGGGAACAATATACATCAAAATAGCATTGATAACGCTGTTGTATGTTTGTAGTGCTACTTTAAAGCTGTGATGTGTGTGTGGCTAACCTTTACAGGTGTTTTAAATGAAGTGTTTCATTTTTTTCCAAGAGTTCTACTGTGGCACCAAACATTCATGTATGTGATCGTTATGTTTGAGCAATATATATTAATAATGTAAACTGTGGCTGGATGGCTATTCTAGTTAGCGAGTAGGCGGAATAAGAAACTTAAAGGCTAGTATGATACTGTGGTGATACGAGAAGATGCAGAAGCAGCAACCTTAGTCTTGTGCCTGTTGTGCTTCACGCTGTATATATGTACTTGAAGAACCAGTTAGTGTTTACCTGAGCAAAGTTTATCCTCCCACTTAAAGATGTGAGTAGATTCCAGGTGCTGGAATTCACAGCTGGCTGGAGAGTCAGTTTAAGATTTAGTGCATCAGGCCTGTGGTTGAACTGATAGTGGAGGGGGCTGCTCACGTGGCTGACAGCCCTGTAGAACTGACTCGTGGCTGAGAGGATTTTTGGTCTGTCAGTCCAATTGCCTGGTTCTAATTCACATGTTTTTCTTTGGTTACTTCCTTAGCGTGGCCTTGTTGGACCCCCAGGACCTCCTGGTCCCCAGGGACCTCCAGGAGCACCTGGTGCCGAAGTCACCCGGGAAGTCCTTCTGCAGGAGTTTAAGGAGATATTAAAAGGTAAAGACTGTAAGAGCTTTGTGCTTTTGTGATCTGCTTCTTTTGGTAAGCACTATGGCACGTAAAGAACTGGCTTTGCAAACGTTTACCTTAAAGCATTCCCCTATCTGGCAATCAAAAATTTGAAAAAATGTTTCTCCAGTGTTGCTTAGTTCAAGTTGAAGAGTTAAGTGCAGAAGTCGAATTGCACAACTGATGGTTTCATAGACCAGGCTCTTAAACTAAACCTTTATTTTCCCATACTTTTTCTTTTCTTCTCAGAAGCCATTGAGCGTCGAGCATCCCTGGCTATTTCAGCCCATCCTAGCCAGCTGCCTCCACTCCTACTGTCCTTGGAGGAAGGTTCACCGCACAGACGTGTAGAGGAGGCGTTCCATTGCAAGCTAAAAGGACAAGTCATTGTAGATAAGAAGACCCTGGTGGAACTTCAGAACTTCCAGTCGGTGAGAAGGGATTACAGACTGAACCTGTGCAACTCCACCACAGCCATTGTGCGTAGATCAGCTGTAGGTCCCCTAGTCTGCAAAGCTGCTACGTGGCTTTGTAGGTAAAGGTGTTTCCTTTATCTACACTACCTTTTTTGGTAAAGCACTACCTTTTTTGTGATCGACAGAATTAGGATCTCATATGGTGATTTCAGCACTGAAGCTCCAACTGCAGTAAGATGGGCATTTAGCTTTGAGTCCTGTCCTTCCTGATAAACCCAAGAGGCAGACTTTCTTCCTCTCTTGCAGCCCAGCTGAATCTTATTACAGTTCTTACTGAAGTTCTAACAGGTCTGTGCAAGAGAGGACTGTCTCACAGGTCCAAACAACAGTCAGTCTTTTTGTTTCAGTTAATGATGGAGAAAGACTTGTCCATGTTTGGCATTGATCTGAAGGATCTGTTCTTTTTTTCAGTGCACACCCTGTTTAATTCCAGAGTAATGTTCAGGTGTAGAAAAATGTCAGAGGCAGACAGAAGCCATTGGTTATAGATTTGTGAGCCCAAATAAGAAATACAATTTTGTTAGGTGGGCCAGTCCTGATGCTCAAATTCTTTACATAATGTTTTATAGAAGGCTAATAAATATTACCTGTATAATTTCATTATAGTCATGTTATAATGATAAGCACACCATCATGGGATGTGGTAGGTCATTATAAGCATGGTTACAAGCAGTCTTTTGAATTTGATACTAAAACTTCTGCTAATCATTACTGAACCAGTTGCAAATAGGATCTGAATTTGAAGCATATGCCTTCAGATACATGGTTGCTTTTGTGAAGTGACAAGAAGAGTTTGAAGAGTATGAACAGGGAATATGGCTTTCCAGTCAGCAGGATTTGCTAGCACTGTCCATGTAGTAAGGTGCTGAGCTTTCTTCCCAGCTGCACTGAGTCCCATTTCTGAGGAATCCTGTCCAGCAGATCCTTTCATGTGGAGTATTTTGCTGCTAGGACTTCTCACAGCTGCAGGACTAGAGGCAGTGGTTATGTTCTAAATAGGGTGCTTGCCTGGATCTTTCCCAAATACACTTGTGGAAGCCTGGTTTGACAGCACTGTGGGTGCTGGCACAGAGGCAAGATTGTACTTGAAGTGTGGGCTGGGCTAGAGAGATCTGCTGCCTCATTAATTAGGAGGGAAAATGTGAATAAAGACATCTCAGCAATCAGTGCGTAGGCTGATGCTTCCCATGCTTTGTTATCATATGCCTAGCTTCTTTCTAATTGCTTCTGGCCCTGAAGCTGATGTGGGAGGGCTGGCAGGGCTGTGGATGCCAACCTTTCATTTCGGCTTTGGGACAAGAAGTGTCTGGTTTTAGCTTGTGCTCTGATATAGGGGAATTCAGCAGGGAGGGAGACAGTGGATGCTCTTGCAAAGAAGAAAACAATGTCTTTAAACAGTCCAAGGAGGAGAGATAATTCCGCCCTCTCCATTCTGTCAGTTTAATACCGTGAAGAAGCCAACAGTTTGATATTTCTCAGTGAGATAATAGGGATTGACTCTAATGCCTGGATTTGGACCTTGCCCAAAGCATTTTGAGATAGTGGAAGGAACCTGTGCTGAGAAACAGCCTATCACTTCTATACTCTGTCATTTGAGTATGGTGTCTAAACCACTCTTACCCTGTGTATTGAGAGAGCATGATGGTTTTCTCGTCCTTCCATGCTAAATTTCCTCCAAAAACATTCCCTCCCTCTCTTCCTCTTGGTCTCACAATTTCCTTGGTATCTGGAATGAAACATGTGATACTCCTTTCCTTACGCCTTTTCCCCCTGTATTTCACACTTTGAGATTTGTAACGATTGCCTCTTGCAAAAGCTTTCAGAAAGGTACTTTACACAGCAAGAATTGAAGTAACTGCAACCTCTGAGAGGCCACGGAAGTGGGATTTATCTGGGGCCCAGGAACGTTACTGGAATCAGATCACTTAAGGCTAAGGTGGCCCACGTGGTTTTCACGGTGAAAGATCCCAGAAGGAGTCCTGGTGTCTCCAGTGCCTTGAGGTCAAGATAAATGTCTACCTTTGGCAGTTGAATTTTATTGCTGCTTCATGAGATTGGTGCATCCCCTGTGCATTGTGGTTGCTGTGCAGGCTGGGTTATCCTTTTCTTTAATAATGGATAAGTCAATGCATTGCTTTCCACAGTGTTTATCACTGAAAAGCAAAACTGGCAGTTCACATCGCAATTCTCTGTGTATGGTTCCTATCTTCCCCCTGGAAGTAACCTATAGAGTATATGAGGGAGAAGTGGGGGTAGGAGATGAACTGAGGAAAAAGAATTTACCTTGGTTTGTACAGAATGGCTGGACACTAACTTGTTGGTTTGCTTTTGGTCTGCTTACTGAAATAACTTGTGTGCAAGTAGTTAGTTTCTCAGATGTAAATCCCTGCAGTGTTTGAAGCAGCTAGGTGAGTGTGCTGCTGTGAGGCAGCAAATGCAGCAGGGAGCTCTAATTGGCATGGGGTTTAATGGAATATTTTGCCCAGAGAACCTCTCCCTGCATTGTCTATTTCTATGAGCAAAAGAATAACAAAGCCACAGAGGGCATGAAGAAACAGGAATGTTTTATCAGTGATAATTTACTGGTGCCTAAAATTGCCTTCCATGCTCAGCCAGTGGTTTGGAATTATGTTGCTGATTCTGCTAATAGCTGTAACAAGAAAGGAATGAATTAACTATGCAGTCAGTTTTGCACATACAGGGCTTGGATCTGCTCTTTCAGTGAGGTAAATCAAAAGTAGCATTACCAAAAATGATGGTGTAGTGATAGCATAAGAACGGAATCAATCTCCTTCCATAGTCTTTGTTGTTAGATTAGCTGTTATATTGTCTGTGTGTGTATACACAAAGAAAACAGAGCTCCTTTTGTGTGTATATATGTGCACATAGGCACACATCAGCGCACATGGATAAATATAGAGACTTAGAAAGCATTGTATGAAACGTAGTTGTTCTGCACTTCATTACTGTTTTCCCATTATACATAAGTAATCTTGTGATAACTGCCACTGCTGTTGCACATGGTTATATTTTCACCACCATATGCATACATAAAACATTTCTAGTAAAGTTCTGTGAAATTTAAGACTACAGCTAAATCTTGGTAAATAAGGACTGGGATTTACTCTTTTGTGAGCCTTGCCTGGGATTTGCTGAATAAAAGCAGGTTAGTCATTTCACTCCTGCCATGTAGTAACTCTCTAAACAAACACCACCAGACCCAAATATTTGCAGCCTTACTTCCTTTCAAAGGGAAACCTAAATCAATTATTCCTACCCTGCACTCTGAAAGCTGGCAATTTCTGGCTGTGATGAAGCAGAATGGGGAGGCAATTAACTTCCTTCTGGTACTTGAACAAAGGTGTTCCACTACTATTTTTTAGTGTAATAGCACCTGTGGCAACACTGCTACAAATCTGTTTACCATGTCTCAGGCCCCTTTTCCCATCTAGTATTGGAAAGCATACTCAAATGGGTTGTTGAGATCACTCAATTATGCATTTGTGCATGTTTTAGGGATGTAGCAGTGTGTGTGCCTTTACAGAGTCAGATTTGAACAGCTCTTCTGTCCCATAAGACCAATGTGGGGCAAATCTCTCGGGACGGCATTCATGGCAATGCGTTCACATTGCACAGAATGCCCTTGCGGTGGAAGCAGAGTCTGACTAATGTGCTTTCTTGGCCCATTGAAGCCACTCCTGCTTCTCCTCAGCTCTAGCCAAATTCATATGAGGCAGGCCAAAACAAACAATAAACATTTCTCGCAGAGTTTATTTTAGTCTGAGTTGGATAATCTGCTCAACTTTGACTTAAGACTGCTTCCTTGCCATGAAGAGAAGCTGCATGCTATTTTACTAGATTTTTGCCTATTCTGTAGGATCCAAGGCTAGAACAAAATGAAACTAGGTACAGAATCTGTAAGAATCCAAGCAGTTGTTCTCTGACAATATAAAAGCTGTCTGACTTAGAACTAAAGTGGGTAGAAAACCTCTGGAGACCCATATGAGTGTTTCCTCTGTACTTGTATCACAAAACCAGTGTATAAGGTTCCAGGTTTTTAAGCCTGGGCACACTACTTGGCCCCATCTTGGAAGTCTTTGGGAGTAGTAGGGACCTCTTGCCTCAGATAATGGGAGATCTTGTGTATCAGAACATCAGTGGAGGCTAGAGGCCACTGGGACCAACAGAGCACAGGAGTGCAGTAAGCACAGTCTGAGTCAAGACGAGTTAGAAGAGTTCAGCAGTGAGCAAAAAGGACATCTTAATATCTCGTACTGATCATTTTGCTTTTGTGGGCATCAAATGCTGAGAGAGTGCCCATCTGGAAGGTGTGTTCTGGGGAGATAAGGCAGTAGGTGTGCAAACTTTTTCGGCTTTGTTCTCATGCACGTAAGCTTGTTCTTTGTCATGGGCAGAGGAGATTGTTGAGAGTGCTGGGGGCTTGTTCAGGGTCTGCTTTTCTTACCTTACAGCCTCTGGCCAAAGGAGCTTTTCTCCGGGGGACAGGATTAAATCTGGCAACAGGACGTTTCACAGCACCTGTGTCTGGCATCTACCAGTTTTCAGCCAATGTCCACGTTGGTGAGTGTTGCCCACAGAAACTTTTTCTGCACTGCTTGAGAAGTGCAGGAAGGAGTCCTGGAGAACTCTCTGGGTCTCTGGGCCCTGTTTGAATAGAAGTATGTGCAATGGCAGCCCTTTGCAGTGAGCTCTCCCTTTGGTACCGTGACCCAAAACCCTGTCCTTACAGCTGGGTACTTTCAGAGACTGATAGCTACAGCAGGCCGCTCCGTGCAAACCAAACAAATCAACACTTCTTATAGAGGATGAGTTTAGGGACCAAATATATTCATGTGTGGAAGTTACGGCTTCCATAAAAGACTTGAGAAGAAATGAACATGATGATGTAGAACTGCATCAAGGCAGTTTTTGACTGTATTTTGTCATCAGTGCATTTGTTCAATGGTTTTAATCATTCAGTGGTGAAGTATTTTATAATTGAACACCAGAAGGATGCTTTCCTAAGGAGTTGTGGTGGTTTGCCCCGGGCTGGAGGCCAGGTGCCCACCAAAGCCACTCTATCACTCCCCCTCCTCAATAGGACAGGGGAGAGAAAATATAATGGCTTCTGGGTTGAGATAAGGGCAGGGAGATCATTCACCAGCTACCATCATGAGCAAAACAGACTTGACTTGGGAAAAAATTAATTTTATCTATTGCCAATCAAATCAGACTAAGATAATGAGAAATAAACGCAAAATCTTAGAACACCTTCCACCAACCCCTCCCTTCTTCCCAGGCTTAAGTTTACCTATGATTTTCTCTCCCTCCTTCTCCCCAGTGGTGCAAGGAGACGGGGAATGGGGGTTGGGGTCAGGTCATCACCTGTTGTCTCTGCTGCTCCTTCCTCCTCAGGGGCAGGACTCCCCCCACCCTCAC